ATAAAGTACCTTGGATAACAAACATCGTTTCTGTGAGTATATCCCTTGAAAAAGCACAAACCTTATTCAACAGTTGCTGTTGAGTATGAGAGTGGCAGGAGAGGAGTCAGATTAGATAGGAAGCTAACTGAGTATTACGGATCCTGTTAGAATAAAATGGGTGAGTTAGTCCCTGTTAGAACCCCGTTAATATGCAGAGTTTCCGGGTATGCTCTAAAAGTTCGACCAGGAACTACTTTTGTGTTTGTGGCACACGATCATTTATTACAGGACTCGTATGAATGTCTTGCATATGAGTATGCCCCATATTTGCATGGTCTTCGTGCTGCCATAGCTCCATCATGGCGGTTTCTGGTTGTACATCCCAACAGAACAAGACTGAGATTCATTTCTTGCTTTAAATAGTCATTTCTTTTCGTTCAACGTAATTTATTCGGGGGAAAAAACCAAAATAAATTAACTACTGCATTGAGTTTATTCGATAGAAAAGCGTTGAACATGATGATTGTCACGATCGACGACATAAAGATTGCCATATCGATCAAAGGATAAACCCATAGGAACACTCAAGTGGCCATTTCTACCCACAATGATAGTGCCATTTTTCGCTCCTTCACGCCAACGCATCACTCGATTATTCACGGAGTCTGCCACATAGATGGTACCACACGCATCGACGAATAGTCCGTTAGGATTTCTTAATTGTTTCAGAGTAGTTCCTTTGTCATGACCTCCAGCAATGACAATACCTTCTTTTGCATCTTTATTCCATTTCATCACGCGATGATTGTTGTTGTCTGACACGTAGACAGCTTGTTGTCGATCGACAAACACGTAGGACGGAACATTGAGGTGTTTGGTTTCATTACCTCTACCATGTCCACCGGCGACGACACTTCCATTCTTGTTTCCTATTCGATATTGTTTAACTTCATGTTTGTCTGTGTCAGAGATGTAGAGATATCCCTGATCATCAATCGCCAATCCTCGGCAAGCGATGTGGTCGAAAAGGACTTTTCCTTCACTGGTACCATTACGATGAGACCATTGCACGACTCTTCGATTCCCGCTATCACATATAATAAGACTATCCGTCTCTTTGTCGATCAACACATCAGTTGGTTCATTCAATTTATTTAATCTCTTTCCTTTGCCAAAGCCACCAGCTATCACTTGTCCATTCGTCTCATCCATCTTCCATTGGACGATACGATCATTGCCATAGTCAACGATGATCGCCGTTCCATCATCATCGACAAAGAGGCCCCAAGGGTAATAAAGTCGAATGGTTGAATTATCTTTTCCATAGCCTTCAGTAATGGTCATTCCATTCTGTGCCCATCTGGCATTGGCTGGAATATTGGGAGTCACTATAATGAACGAGAAAACAAAACGCATCGTCATCATCATCGTTGAAAAGATCTCCGTCTCTCAAAGTGTAAAATGCTACAAATGAGACATTCATGTTCTCCGAAAGAGCTTCGTAAAATTTTCAATAATATCGTTTCCTAACATGCTCTAAGGAAGCCAAAGGTCTTTTCAGTATATATACGTAAACTCAGAAATCTTTTTTGTTTTCTTGAAAAAAGGATTTCGTAATAATTGCTAAGACTGTGTCACTTCCGGAGTCTCATTCTTGTTCGTTCCTCGAGAGTCTCCAGTGGAATCGTGACAGTCCATATCAGCAATGACTTATTAAAGTTCTTGCCAAGGTCTACTACACTCCCCAAATTAGAATCTTTGCAATGAACGAAACCAGCACCTTAAGATTTTTCTAAGGAGTCTTTCCATGAAAGACCATTTCTAAAATACTGAGAAAATCAATGTTAGTCCAATGCGAGCTTTTGATCGGAAAACATACAAATCTGAGAATTATATTCGTGATTTTCAATTTAGAATCTTTGCAGGATTATCAGAAAGAGTACTAGCAAGCTTAAATCCTTGAAGGATTTATATGAACATTGTACAAGAACCGAAATAATATAATAATGCACTCTGTCAGTTGGAAAACTAATGTTCATCGTCTATAATATGAGTTTGGGAAACTCTTAGGATCCAGCGTGCATCTTTCAGGATGTCCTAAACATTTGCATAACAGGATGCAAGCAAAATTTTTTGAGGCACTGACCAATCTATGTCAAGCTCTTCGGTAGACGGTTCTGATAGGATATTAACAAAAAATACTAAGAAGATTTGTTTGCATCTAAAATCAAGAAAACTTGTAGAATTCCACGCGGATATTCGGAACGTGACGCCTTCTGCTTTTAAAATATTGCGAAGACTAATGCTAATCCTATCGGAGCTCCTCATAGAAAAACATTGGGATCTGTGGATTTTATGCGTTATTTAACGAAGGTGAATCTGAATGGAATAGTTGGAAAGTATTTTATAAAGTTATTATTAAGTTGTTTGCGACAAACAACTCCAACCATCGGACTAGAATCATAGAAAGGAATTTTAACGGTTCTATGGAGTTTCGACAAAAAGAATTTCGCCATCTGAATTTGGACAACGTTGTCGAATTTCTACAATTGCCAAAATTCGTATGAAATTACGACAGAATTTTGTTTTTGCAGCGTATTTTATTGTTCATTTTCCATCAGAATTGGGGTGGGGTGTGGAGTTTCAGCTAAGCTACAGCCACAGCCACACCCGCCCTGTTATTGACGTGCCGCTGTAGAACGAGTGGTGGCTACCATTTATAATAAACAATAAATTAAACAAGTTCAAATGGATTGTGAAATGAAGAATGTAAAGATGTTATTGTAAAGTTTGATATAAGAAAAGATAGACAGAACGAACTATCAGCATTTTCTCTCTCTCTTCACCTCGACGAGCGAATACACTAAACGATATATATATATATATCATTAGATCTAGGCAAAACAAAGGATATACATAACAGATGACGAGAAGAATGATGATTTAGTTCACGCGCTAACAAAGATAATCGAGGGTATTAAAAGATAATCCAATGTGATAACAAAAAAAAAATACAAAATATTCTTCACATATTAACAAAAAAATATCAAGGGTATCGAACAATGACGTCATTTCGATAAAAATACAAAATTTAAAAGAATAAGCAGATGTCTACTTGAAAAAAATAGTAATATCACGGCATTCACATAACTTGATGTTGTATCAATCAAAATTTTCTAATTAAATATACTTCAATGTATTTTTTTTGAATAAATAGTGTCCACATTCCATTTTACCATTTTAACGACTAAATAATAAACTCTGTCAAGGACTGAAATTCTAAAAATTGTGATAACATTTTATCAGGATCTTGCTATTATCCTTACGTAGTACTTATTTTAAGAATTCTACATTGCGCCAACATGTCCTAGATATGGTTAGTAGGATCTCATGAATGAGGGTTTTTGAAATTCTTGGTATACCAGCGTCGACTCTAATCAGTGCTCATGGAGCAAAGCTAATTGCTGAATCTTCATTTCGTATGTATCGTGAAGTATTTTTCTATGAACAGCATAAAGCAGAAAAAAGCATTTCTCAAGAGCTGTGCTTTCTCAAAAAACTTGACTTTGCTCATATTCGCGTGTGACTTTTTTCCAATTGTTTTTTGTTATCATAATACCAAATGGGTAGAGCCTATTGGCCTGAAACTTATATTCATCTCTTTCATTTCTTTTCAAATGATAAACAAAACATCTCTTCATATTTTATCTTCCGAGAGAAGAAAGACTGTTCCAATCAAGTTTCCTGTCACTTTATAATTTGAACCAATTAGTCGAGCAACAAAACAAGTTTGCATTTATTATAAATCATTTGATCCTTAAAATTTCTTCTCGCTGTCAACGGTTTAATTCATTGCTGCTGATTTAGCTAGTAAATGTGCCTCGTTCTTTTGAAAAACCTCGAAAATGTGAAAATGTAGTTATGTACTTAAGAAGGATGCAGACTGTAATGTAAGAAGGTGCTCAGAAAGATTTGAGATTTGAGATTATGCAAGGTAGGTCGTGATTCTGATGCAATAACTGGAAGCCACATAAAGTTTATCTTACTTTTTCCTCGTTGCATTTGTCTCAGTTGATTGGTCAATCGTTGAATTATTTCGTTATATTTTGCTTGTTCATAGAGAGTGGTGCCGTTCAACTGCTCTAAATAGAAAAATATTGGAATATAAAGATTTTATTCATAATCTTGAATGCAGAATCTTCGCATGATTATCACAAACTGTAGTAAGTCTAAACCTTGAACGAATTTTTATAAATTCTGGGCATGAATTAAAACCATAAAATAATGAACTCTGTCAGATTTCCAAACGAGAACATGATGAGAAGATATTTATCTAAACCCTTTTAGAAGAACCGAAAAAATGAGCTTTTCGAGTCTTTGGAAAAGAAATGAGTATCGTAATCAGTATGTCTCTCTCAAAGACAAAAAAAATCGTCTGTTTTGTATTAGCTTATTCTCCTCCATCTATTATTATTACATCTTCATTTACAAATTCATGAACACAGCATAAGTTACACTACTCATCTTTATATGCAGCCCATTTTACTGGCTTATTGTTTTACATTTGTTCGACATGTACAAAAATGTATCATTTTCCTGATACTCGCCCTCAGACAAAAAAAATATCTTTTTCCGATTCATTTTTTCATCATCTAATATTCTGTGTTAAAAAAAATACCGCAAGATGCAACGTGAAAAACTCTGCAATATACGAAGAACAGCTTCTTTTATAATTGCACTTTTTGTTTTCAAAATTGACGAGACTCTGAGCCACTAATTTTTGGCACTTTGAAAAAAATTATTTTTTAGTATACGATGAATTCTTTTTCGTATGTCATTAATTTTGTGAATCATTCTTTTTAACTTTATCCCGTTGTTCGGCCATCGATTACGGCTTTCGATACAACTCTTTAATCAAAACAACAAGAAAAGAAATTGATCATGTACCTAAAAATGATCTTGTTTGCCGCGCCAAAAATTAGTCCCACAGAATATTGTCCATTTTGAAAACAAAAAGTGCAACTATAGAATGAGTTGTTTTTTGTAAACTTTAGTTTTTCATGTTGCATCTTATGGTGTATTTTGTTGAGGAGCCCAAAAAATCCCGTATGCATCTTTCAGGATGCTTTTCATATGGTTTGAGAAAAATCCTGATCTCATGACTTTCACGAGTATGAATACTAACCTGCCGAAAGATCTCCTGCACATTCGCATAGAATTTTCAAGTAACATATCATTAGATTTTAACTAGTTTATGTCAAAATGGCCGAAAGACGATCCTGGTAGGATGTTAGAAAGATCATAAGAAGGTGTGTATGCATTCGAAACTGAGAAAACTTAACAAAATTCCACCCTGATCTTTGGAAACTGGTGCATTCTACTGAGGACAATGCTCCCTTGATTGAATGGAAGGTAGTGTGAAATAAAATGAGTTTATGGCAATGTTTATATGATTGTTGGCCCATGTGTAGTTACGTTGACGGGTATTTGTGAAGGTTTGAAAATATTAAAAGAATGATATTTATCGTCATGGTAACTCGACCAATCAGCCGATTTTGCTGTCTGGTTTGCATCAAGCTAGTTTTTTTTTCATACTGAGAGTTGAGGTTGTGGGTGCGGTTCTTCTCTCAGCTCACTCGGCACATAGCCACTCCCTGCATATATCTCTACTACTGAGCAAGCCTTATCACGAACTTCTTTTTATTTTAAAAGGTGTGGGCGTGGCATGTGAATAACAAATGTGTGACCAGCCACACTCACATCCGTTGTATATAGAGTCTTGGCTGAAGTATGGTTATGACTACAAATATGTAATACGACTTGGTCTTCTAGCTCTTCCATCAGAAAAATGAACAGTTGTAAAAGAAATTCTCTCGTACTTGGAACTTTTGTAGAGTTTTTTCATCAGAATGAAATAAATATTCTCTAATTGCTTGGTTTTGGGGAACTCATTTCAAACGAGTGAGTTTAAGAATGTATTGACAACCAGAGCTTTTCCTTACCATCAGTACTCGCTAAAAAAGGAATACTTCTCTGACACAGCTTTTTTAATATTCATTTAACTCAGCGAATGTACTATTTTCAGCCTGATGAATGAATTATTTTCAATTTCAAAGCAATATTCTTCTCTCTCACTTCTATTCTTGTTTTCCGTTATTAGCATTGCATTATTATGTAAGTTCTACATTTTAATGTAATCATGGGCTACTCTATCAAGCTATTCCAGGGCAATCAATTGAATTTAAACTTGGCATGACTTATTTGGAATTCCTATTTCTGCCACAATAGACTAATTCCATTTCTTATTAGTCATATGTTAGGGATGTTCACGATTATTGTAAAAG